TTGTTGTTTGGCGGGTCCGGGAGGGATTCGAACCCGCCACCTTAGGTGTATGTGGCTGGCGCCTTAGCCACTTGAGCCACAGGCGCCGAGCCTCAGTTTAGGTTCTTAACTATTCTGACTATTTCTCAAATGAACCCTATTTACTGGCAATATACTCTGGTGTATACTCAGGTGTCCAACCTGTGGCCCATGGGCCACATGCTAATTTTGTAAAGACATTTTTTGCTTATCTGTGGTGTTGAATATCATAAAAAGTCCACTTGGACCTTTTCTTTGCTACTCGGCTTTTGTAAATGTTTACATATTCAATGTGTGGCCCAAGATCAGTCTTACTCTTCAAATGTGCAACAGAAAAAAAAAGGTTGAACACTCCTGAAGCTAAACCAATGTCTCTTTGCTTTGGGTTAGAATTATGTTAATTCTGTGTGGGATGTATTTTGGTCCATATACTCTTGTAGCTACATATATGATTAATAAGAAGCATAAAATTATGTAAGTATAGTTTGTATGTTCAATATTTTAGGATAAATAGTCTATGGGGGAACTCAAAACATGCCTTTGGTGGTAAAAATGCTTCAGAACAGTCTTTCTGGCTCAGCATGAAGTGATTGAACTAGAAATTATTAATTACATGTATGTTGCCAGAACTTAACCACATTTGAACATCAAAACATTAATTTATTACTTAACAATGATTATTCCTCATTGTTAATACTTATTTTTAAACTCTATCTGGTTGCCAACAAGGACATTTATATAGGCAGAACAATGGCTGACCTAATAACGTCCATTCCACTACCTTTCTCTTCTTTTTCAGTTCCATGCCAGTTCCAGTTTTAGTATTAATTTCTAATATCTACTCTTAAATTACATCTTGACTTGCTTATTCAGTATATGATTTTCATTTTCAGATGTTTTTCCTTCCTGATCTAAACCTTATTATTGAATAATATCTATTCGCTTTTCTTTCTTTTCTTCCTCCCTCATTTTGTTGCCCTGGGTAGAGTGCTGTGGCATCATAGCTCACAGCAACCTCAAACTCTTGGGCTCAAGCAATTCTCTTCCCTCAGCCTCCCCAGTAGCTAGGACTATAGGAACCCACCATTAACGCCTGGCTATTTTTAGAGACAGGGTATTGCTCTTAGCTCAGGCTGGTCTTGAACCTGTGAGCTCAGGCAATCCACCTGTCTCGGCCTCCCAGAGTGCTAGGATCACAGACATGAGCCATTGCACCTAGCTATCCACTCTGTTTTCAATCTTGGTCTATGTTATTATTTTTTTTCTATTAGACAGAGTCTCACTATGTCACTTTTGGTAGAGTGCCATGGCATCCCAGCTCACAGCAACTTTAAACTCTTGAGCTTAAGTGATTCTTTTGCCTCAGCCTCCAAAGTACCTGGGACTACAGGAACCTGTTACAATGCTCAGCTATTTTTTTCTTCACTCTTTTTTTTTTTTTGAGACAGAGTCTCAAGCTGTCATCCTGGGTAGAGTGCTGTGGTGTCACAGCTCACAGCAACCTCAAACTCTCAGGCTTATGCGATTCTCTTGCCTCAGCCTCCAAACTAGCTGGGACTACAGGCGCCAGCCACAACACCTGGCTATTTTTCAGCTGTAGTTGTCATTGTTGTTTGGCAGCCTGGGCTGGATTTGAACCTGCCAGCTCTGGTGTATGTGGCTGGCGCTCTAGCCACTTGAGCTACAGGCACTGAGCCCCTACTATTTTTTGTTGTAGTTGTCATTGTTGTTTAGCAGGCCCGGGCTGAGCTCAAACCCGCCAGCTTCAGTGCATGTGGCCGGTGGCCTACTCATGAGCTACAGGCACCGAGCTAATCTTGGTATATGTTTTACTATCAGTATGTTTTTGGAAGGGGAATTTAGGTATATAATCTAACAAGTGAAATTAACAGAACAGTGTCAAAGCTGTCCCAGAAAATAAAGAATTGGTTACTTTGCCAATATTACCTTTTTCCCTCCTGATATCACAGATGTATAAAAGGTACTATAACAGAAGAGTTTAAGACAAAATTTATCCATGTAGTATTTTCTAGCAGAAGGCAGTACTTTCTTAGTTGGCTAAAAGATTTATGAAAACTGTTTGCATTTATTAATGATTAGCTGATAATATCAAAGTATTAAAAAATTTTTTTTTTGAGACAGAGCCTCAATCTGTCCTCCTGGGTAGAGTGCCATGGAATCACAGCTCACAGCAATCTCCAACTCCTGGGCTCAAGTGAGTCTCCTGCCTCCGCCTCCCAAGTAGCTGGGACTATAGGCGCCCACCACAACACCTGGCTATTTTTTGGTTGCAGCCATCCTTGTTGTTTGGCGGGCCCGGGCTGGATTCGAACCCACCAGCTCAGGTGTATGTGGCTGACACTTTAGCCATTTGAGCCATAGGTGCCGAGCCAAAGTATTAAATTTTTTTAAAGTTATAGTAACAGTTGTACCCAAAGACAAGACTCGGTTCAACTGCTAAATATTCAAAGCAATAGCAATAATAAAAAAAAAATCTCTTTATCCTGCTCTGAATAGGCACATTTCTTTTTTGCTTATCTGATGATAATGATAAAAACTACAAAGCAATGTAGTAAAGAAACTGAAATTTCACAAGGAGCATTATCGCACCCATGACCATTCTTAAAGGTCATGGCTGTTTTAAGAATTTGTACATTTAATCACATTGAAAAATAAAATCTAAACTAGCTGACAAAAAATAAAATTATTTTTAAATGATGGGAATGAAATGGTAAACTCCTTTAACACATTTGCTCTGGATGAATGGAAATGTTAACATACCCATATATACACAGAAGATTTACAAATGAACCTGTCATCTTGACATTTAATTAGAAGACAGACAGGTGTTTTCTTCCCAAGATAGATGTTATCCAAACCAGAACTCTTAAAGTCACTGTCAATTTTAAAATGTTCAAATCTGTACTTGGCTTGAAGGAAGAGTTCTGCACTGATTCTTCACTCACAATGGTCAACACATTGGGACTATAAGCCATCTTCCAAGAAAAGGAAAATTTAGTACCTCTTAAATTAAAACTACCTTGTTTCTTGGGGTGCGACGCTGGAGTAGGGTGCATTTTAGCATCTCTGGAAAATCCATCTAAATTTCCTTTTATGGCTTCCAAAGCATCATCTCTACTCTTCTCTCCTGTCTAAAAGATAACGAATATGTATGTATTTCTTTACTTAACTCTCACTTTGTCCTAAACCCTCCCAAGAAAAAAGCACAGGTATTAGTTTCTAATATTTTTAGCACATACCTTTTATAATTTTCTAAGTTAGACACTGATAAATGTTCGAAACAAAAACACAAAATGACACACCACAGAATACAAAAATATTGAAAGGGCTATTTATAAGTATTTTAGGATAGTTAAGTGTCTTGTGAGGGTCCTAAGAGAAATATGGAATACCACCAAATATAAAATTAACACTTCCCATGAAAAAGATTACAAAAATTGTCACGGTAGCAGAGTTGAAAAGAGAATGATGCTATCCTATTCCTACCAATAATAAAGCAGCTTTACAGAAAAGGAAAAATCTTTTCCTTTAGGACTTAGATAAGATCAACCAAAATGAAAGGAATCAATCATAGCCTCAGCTTGGGCTGCTGACTCAGTGGCAAAATGTACTGAAAGAGTGAGAAGAGGCACACTCAGGGTGTCTGCTTTGGGTGGGGCGAGGTGGGAAATGTATTACCTTGGGCTTCACACTGCTCAGAAGTCGGAGCTTTTGCTTCTGCTCTTCAAACTGGCGTCTTTTTCTTTCTTCTTCTAAGAGTTTTTGCTGTTGTTCAAATCGTTTTCTGAGGAAAAACAATTTAATAAAGAACCAGCTTCAGGTATTATCAATGGTGCTATATTTAAATTTCTACTAATAGTTTTGGCAATGTCACCTTGCATTTCTAAAACTGTAAACTGCACTGCTAGATATCTCTAATTTTCTTATCACAATCTTGTTTCCTATATATATATATATATACATATATATATATATTTTTTTTTTTTCTTTTTTGAGATGGAGTCTAAAGCTGTCACCTTAGAGAGCTGTGGCGTCACAGCTCACAGCAACCTCCAACTCTTGGACTCAAATGATCCTCTTGCCTCAGTTTTTTTATTTTTAGTAGAGACAGGGTCTCACTTCTGCTCAGGTTGGTCTTGAACTCATGAGCTCAAGCAGTCCACCTACCTCTGCCTCCCAGAATGCTAGTATTATAGGTGTGATCCACCTTGCCTGGCCCTTCCTCACTATATTAATTCTAAAATATTTGACATGAGTCTAAGAAATGATTTGCCTAAATTATCTATGTGAATTTAATTATCATCTAATTTGCAAGGAAAGGAAAGTCTTTTTTGCATACAAAAGTAATTTAAAAGCAGAGAGGCACACAAACAAAAACACTCTTTGCTCTGCATTTATAAAGGAAGCGTCTTTGGGAAGGCAGGGTCATATGGGAGAATGAGTAATGCCCTGGGAATCAGGCGGCCTACACCAGGTTCTGGGCTTAACTGTGCAATCTGGACTAACAGGTTGTTTCATTTCTCTGAACCTCACTTTCACTAGATGTAAAATAAGATGTTTGAATCAGAGGACATTTAAAGTCCTTCTCAGCTCTAAATTTCTAACAGTATTTGAGAGTTTTAATGCCAACTTGACTGTTTTCATTTCCTATCTGCACTAGAGATCACTTGACCATTTTTAAGATAAGTGCTATAATGTATCTTTGATTTCCTTGATTCCTAGAGGTCTCTTACTGCTGCTCTTCAGCAAATTGCTTCTGCATGTCTGGAGTGTACTGTGGGCCTGGAGGACGCATGCCCAAGAAGGGTGCCTGTCCCAGGTAAGGCATTCCTGCTGCTGGCATTGGTCCCATTGGTATTCCTGCCTAGAAAAAAGAGATAAAGGCTTAAAAAATACAATTTCTCCTTTTGGTTATCACAAAGAAAAATGTAACTTCTGTAAATTCTTTAATATTCTTATTAGTAAACTATATAAATATATTCTAATAAAATTCAAAGAACATAGGCTAAAAATGCAAAGTTCTCATTAATATCTCGCTAAGTTCTCGTTACTGTCTAGCCCCTCCACTCTCTTCACTATCCCAGAGGAAATCACAGGTAATATAGTCTGATGGGTGTGTGTGCATGTGTGTGTGTGTATGGAAGTATACACATATAAATTATATTCCTTTGAGCTCACTAATCCATACTCTTTGAGAAGAGGTACTATATTGTATATACCTTTGTATTTCCAGCAATAGATATTAGGCTGCCCTGTGGTACACATACCACAAATAAAATTAAATCTGATTTTTTTTTTCAGACAGTCTCACTTTGTCACCCTCGGTAGAGTGCCATGGCATCATGACTCACAGCAACCTCAAACTCTTGGGTTCAAGTAATTCTCTTGCCTCAGCCTACCAAGTAGCTGGGACTATAGGTGCCCTCCCCAGTGCTGGCTATTTTTAGAGATGATGTCTCATTCTTCCTTAGGCTGGTCTCAAACTCCTGAGCTCAGAAAATCCACCCACCTTGGCCTCCCAGAGTGCTAGGATTACAGGCCTGAGCCACCATGCCCAGCCTTCCGATTTTCTAATAATATAATAGGATAGTGAATATTTTGATGTAATCAAAGGCTTGACAGTAAAACTTTTACAGAAAATAAAATCTACATAATCAACAAAAATGACATTAACAATACATTATAAGTTTACTTAAGTGTCCACAAATAAAAATAACACAATAGCTAATCACAAAATATGACATTAAAAATGATAACGATAGTGATGGCAATGGCTAATTTTCATGAAGCGAAAACTTTCACTTTTCAACCTTCTTCCTGAAAGGTGCCCCTTCTGTCCCTAACTGAAACCTGTCCCTGAAACCTTCTCATTTGGAAACTGCTGCTTCTCTTCTACATTTCCTTTATTTATTTATTTTTTCTTTTTTGAGACAGAGTCTTACTATGTCACCCTCAGTAGAGTGCCATGGTGTCACAGCTCACAGCAACCTCCAACTCTGGGGCTTAAGTGATTCTCTTGCCTTAGCCTTCCAAATAGCTGGGACTACAAGCACTCGCCATAACACCTGCCTATTTTTTTGTTGCAGTTGTCATCGTTGTTTAACAGGCCTGGGCTGGGTTTGAACCCACCAGCCTGGGGAGTATGCGGCCAGCGCCGTAACCACTGTGCTATAAGCACCAAGCCTGACTATGGTCTTAAAACATACAAAATCTCAATTTATTCTCATTTTCTTTCTGTTAGAGATAAAAAATAACTCTGAAAGTTCTACTGAAGCTTGAAACACAATAGACTTAAACATGGCAATGGTTTAAACTTAAAATTCTAATTCTGAACTAATACTTAAGTTATATATACTTGTGTCATTGTACTATAGTACTATGGTAAAACATAGAAATAAAAAATTATGAAGTATTATGTAAAAATGGAAGAGTATATGACCTTGAACAGGTAACTCTAATTGCAGTTTCCTTATCTACAAAAGAGGAATAAAAATATTACCATCAGCTTGAGCAACACAGCCAGACCTTGCCTCTACAAAAAACTTCTAAATATTAGCCAGGCATAATGGTATATACCTATAGTTTAAGCTACTCAGGAGGCTGAGGCAAGAATTTGAGGTTGCAGTAAGCTATGATGAAACCACTGCACTCTAGCCTGGGTGACAGAGTGAGATTCTGTCTCAAGAAAAAAAAAATACCTATCTCCCAGAGTTGTTACAAGGAGGGAATGATATAGTGCCTACAATGAATAGAGCACATGTAAGCAACAAATAGTGGCTATAACTATTATTATATTATTACTGGTTATTAATTTTATTAAAGAAAGAATGTTTCCTTACCTATGAAATGGGGCAAAAATTACCTATCTAATAGCGTTGTTACAACCACTGAATGACATAATGGACACAATAAAAATAGCACATGTAGGCTTGGTGCCTGCAGCTCACCAGCTAGGGCACCTGTCACATACACTGGAGCTGGAGGGTTTGAATCCAGCCTGGGCCTGCCAAACAACAATGACAACTACAGCCAAAAATAGCCAGGCATTGTGGGGGGTGCCTATAGTCCTGCTACTTGGGAGGCTGAGGCAAGAGAATCACTTAAGCCCAAGAGTTCGAGTTACAGATCACAGCACTCTACCAAGGTTGACATAGTCAGACTCTGTCTCAAAAAAAATAAATAAATGAAAAATAAATAAAAATGGGGCAGCACCTGTAGCTCAGTGGGTAGGGTGCTGGCCATATGCACCAGGGCTGGTGGGTTCAAACCTAGCCCTGGCCTGCTGAAAAAAAAAAAAAATCGCTGGGTGTTGTGGCGGGCACCTGTAGTCCCAGCTACTTGGGAGGCTGAGGCAAGAGAATCGCTTTAGCCCAAAAGTCTGAGGTTGCTGTGAGCTGTGAAACCCCAGGACTCTACCAAGGGCAACATAATGAGACTCTGTCTCAAAAAAAAAAAAAAGAAAAGAAAATAGCATATGTAAACAAATGATGGTTATTACTATTATTTAGGAAAGAAGCACCGAGGAAGACTACAGGGGGATAAAATGAAAGAAAGAAAAAAGAAAGAAAGAGGGGTTATGAGCCAATGAAAGCATGGAAACATGAAGAGTCAGATGAGTATTAGAGACAGAACATGAAATATAAGGCCATCTCGAAGATACTTCCTGATATTATTATCATCGATATAATAAAAATGTCTTGCTACTTTCTGCAAGTTCACAGGTACAATGCCAGCATACAGGGTGAACATAAAGTTCGTGTGCAATTAAAGTAGTACACTAATTTGAATTGCACACGAACTTTATGTCCACCTTGTATCGTGCTTTAGATAATTTATTTCAGGGGTGTCCAACCTTTTTTTTTCTCTGCTGCAAATTGGAAGAAAGGGCGATGCAAAGGGCTCCTTGGGGAAATGGAAACGTTTTGCATCTTGACCGTACTGATGCCAATATGCTTTATTTGTTTATTTAGTTTTTTGAGACACAGTCTCAATTTGTCACCCTGGGTAGAGTGCCATGGCATCAAAGCTCACAGCAACTACAAACTCTTGGGCTCAAGTGATCCTCTTGCCTCAGCCTCCCATGTAGTTGGGACTACAGGAACCAGCCACAACACCTGGCTGGTTTTTAGAGACAAGGTCTCCCTCATGCTCAGGCTGGTCTCAAACTCCTGAGCTCAAGCATTTACCCGCCTCGTCTTCCCAGAGTGTGAGGATTACAGGCATGAACCACTGTGCCCGGCTCAACATACTTTTTGAAATACAAATCTGATCATGTCACTCCATTGCTTTAAACTATTCAAAGGCTCCCTCATGCTCTTAAGAGAGAATTCAACGTATACTACGTAACACACACATACCAAAGACATAGGTTCAAATCCTAGGTTACTACAATCTGTGAGTATCCTCACAAAGCTTCCATTTCCTCACAAGGAAAACTGGGATATCAAGTCTTTAAAAAGTCTTATGAAGGGTGGCACCTGTGGCTCAGTGAGTAGGGCGCCAGCCCCATATACCGAGGGTGGCAGGTTTGAACCTGACCCTGGTCAAACTGCAACAAAAATCACAGGGCGTTGTGGTGGGCACCTGTAGTCCTAGCTACTTGGGAGGCCAAGGCAAGAGAATCGCCTAAGCCCAGGAGATGGAGGTTATTGTGAGCAGTAATGCCACGGCACTCTGCCGAGGGCAATAAAACAAGACTCTGTCTCAAAAAAAAAACAAAACAGTTTTATGAGCATGGTATCAGGTCTGTGAATTTTCCACAACGTCATTCTAAAAGTCTTCCAAACCAAAATTAAAATTAAAAAGTCATCTAGCTCAGTTGGGAAAGCGTTAGATTTAAGTCAACTGGTTTTTCTAAACTGATTTCTCTTGTTTGTTTGTTTTTTCTCAATCTTACGAAGTTTGAATTTCTTTTTTTTCTTTTTTTTTTTTTTTTGAGACAGAGCCTCAAGCTGTCCCCCTGGGTAGAGTACCGTGGCATTACAGCTCACAGCAACCTCCAACTCCTAGGCTCAAGCGAGTCTCCTGCCTCTGCCTCCCAAGTAGCTGGGACTATAGGCACCCGCCACAACGCCTGGCCATTTTTTGGTTGCAGCCGTCATTGTTGTTTGGCGGGTCCGGGCTGGGGATTCAAACCCGCCACCTTAGGTTTATGTGGCTGGCGCCTTAGCCGGTTGAGCTATAGGCGCCGAGCCGAAGTTTGAATTTCTAAAGGTAACCTTAAGCTCGTAGTATGTAGACACATAACAACAAACAGTAACTCTGTAAACAATCGATTAAAGAGGCAAATACCTGCATAGCAATAGGTCCCTGGGACATCTGAGAACTGTAGTTCATTCCCATCATGCCTTGCATATTAGGCTGCATGACAGAGACCATAGGAAATCCTTGTTGCTGCATTGGCATTAGGCCTGCTGAAAACAAAGTCATTATTAAAGTTAATGTGTTTTAAAGTTAGTTTTCTTAAAACCGTAAGTACTTTCCAGTGACTTGTTACTCAGAAGGCAGTATGATGTAATAGAAAGAGAGAGGCTCCTGAGAAGACCTGACTGTGAATTCTAACTCTACTGTTTACCTAGCCACGTGAGCTTAAGCCAGTTATAAAACTTCCTCTGAAAAACATCTCTTCTGTAGAATTCCAGTACATATTTTAAAAGTCAACAGTGTGGTTTAATTGTGGTATCTAGCCTTCACAGTGGCACCCAGTGTTCTCTGTCTCCCGGTAGTCACACCTTTGTGTCATTCTCTCCCACAATGAATAAGGCTGATCAGTATAACCAATAGGATACAGTGGAAATAACAGTGTGTACCTTCCAAGGCTAGTTTTTAAAGACACTGTAGTTCCTCCCTGTTCTTCTGTATCGCTTGCTCTGGAAGCAGCCACTGCCACATAATGAATATACTCAAGAAGTCTATGGAGGATCTGCATGGTGAGATACTGAGGCCTCCTGCTAAAAGGCAGCACCAATTTGTCACCTATATGAATGAGCCTTCTTGGAAGCAGACCTTCCAGTTCCATGAACCTTCAAATGAATGCAACGCAGCCCTCATGACAGGCCTTTGGCAAGAACCATCCAGTAGACAGACTTACTCCCAGATTCCTGACCCCTGGACACATTGTAAAATGATCAAATACTTCCTTTTTAAATCTTTTGGCTAATTTATTATTCAGCAGCAAATAACTAATAAAATAACAGGTAAGAACACAAACTCTGGAAGCCAACTAGAAATTCCATTTATGAGCTTTTTGGGATCTTGAACAATATGCTTAATTTCTTTCTGTGCCTTGCTTTCTTATCTACAAAATTATTTAATACTTAATATGCTCAGAGAAATGTTATTCTTATTCCTTTTCCTTACATAAATAGCTAAGATAACATTTACTACAACACAGCCATCAGCATTCAAAATACATAATGCAATGGCAGGAAACTATCATGAAAGTACGATTTATAGTGACTAGTGTCTCCCAAACGTGTCCAAGAACAAAGGAGAGTAGATATATGTCCCTTTAGGGATTTTTTTTTTTTTTTTTTTGCAGTTTTTGGTTGAGGCTGGATTTGAACCTGCCACCTTCAGCATATAGGGCCAGCACCCTACTCCTTTGAGCCACAGGCGCCACCTCCTTTAGGGATTTAATAACTACTAAATGCCTACTATCTATTAGAGACAGTTCTATATGCTGGGTATACAGCAGTGGATAAAGCAAAATACCTACCATAGCCTGAACACTATTACATCCATGCTGATAGAACTATAAGGAGCTTTTTATCAAATTTTCAATTTAAAAGATTAAATGTCTGGGAAAGTATACTATGTTTATCTTGTAGGTTATTTATACCTAGCTTAATGTCAGATGCATGGACACCCACTTTTGTAGGTAATAGCTATTAGAGGCATTTACTCATTAAATATTTGAGGGCCAACTCCACGTCAAGACATCATTCTAGGGACACAGCAGGAAACAGAATCAGGTCTTTGTCCTCATGGAACTTGTAATTAGGGGACACAGATAATTAAAAAATAAGTATCCAGCAGGTCATAATGACAGCTAAGGAAAGAAATAAAGCAGGGCAATGGGGAATAGAGTGGTTGCTGTTTTATATAGGACAGTCAGAAAAGGTTTCACTAACAGGGCAGCATTTCAGCAAGGACCTCAGGAAACAAAGGAGCAAGCCATGCAAACATCTGGGAGGAATACTCCAGATAAACACCCAATGCAAAGACCATGAGCTGTCACAGAGAATTAGACTATATAGATTGAATCCACCAACAGTAAGATGTATTCCCTTTTATTCTTTTAGACCAGTGGTTCTCAACCTGTGGGTTGCAACCCACAGGAACTGTATTAAAGGGCCACAGCATTAGGAAGGTTGAGAACCACTGCTTTAGACCTAAAATTTAGTTTGATTTTATTTTCTTTTTGAATTGGTGACTCAGATATTTAGTACAACACTTAAAGGCATAAAAGTGTACATAATGAAAAATACTCCTGATCTTGTAGACACCTCCAGTTTCTTGTATATGCTTTCAGAAATGATCCATGAATAATTTAAAGCCTTCATGATCAAAAAGTCCATTCTACCATCTGTATTTTTTACAAAAAACTCCCAACCAATTCCAAATTCCACAAGAAAAAGCATCAGGCAACTTTTTGGGATTTCTATTGTCTCGTTCCTTCACTCCAGATATAGATTATAACTGGAATTATTTACAAAAATGCAAAATTATAACCATGGTAACGCATAACTCTATAATACCTTCCTAAAGAACAAAAGATCTCTGGGGTGGTGCCTGTGGCTCAGTGAGTAGGGTGTCAGCCCCATATACTGAGGGTGGTGAGTTCAAACCCAGCCCCAGCCAAACTGCAACAATAAAAAAAAATAAAGTTAAAAAAAAAAAGAACAAAAGATCTCAAACCATTTGATCTCAATCTGGGACACATCTAATTACAGACAGCTTAAATAATGCATAAATGTGAACACAATGAAAAGAATACAAATGATCCTTGGAAAACTTTACCTGAAACTCAACCTCCATCACTGATTACAAAGGGAGACAAAGGCAGGATGAGCCACTGTCCACCTGCTACTGAGCCGCTCTTTATCTTTTATCTCTACTGGTGACCTGGGAGTGTCTATTTCTCTGGCAAGTCTACCATAACTGATCAACACTGGCTTTGGGAGAAGGGCCAGTTTTCAGAAGCAGTGTGGTGTGGGGGAAGGGAGAGGATGTCAGAGTGGGAGAATTGAGCAGAAAGAAGCAAAAGATGAGCAGATATATTCCTCTTTCACTGCTGTGTCCCAGCTGCATAGCAGTAAGGGTCAAGATCATATACGTTCACAACTATTTCCTTCAATGTCTGTAAGGGACACAGTAGTGAACAAAACATGCCTTTTCCCCAAGAAGTCCTATGGAAAATACACGAACTAATTAATATTGGTAGACTCTGGTCTGAGACCAAGAGAGAAGGGGTGTACTTAATAAAGAAATTTCTAGGAATAAAACTGAGACTTAAATTCTTTGTTTTTTTTAATTTAATTTTTGGATTTAAATACTTAAAGCTAAATTAGAATGTGATCTCTTTTACCTACATGATTATAATAAATCATAACATATAAAGAAAAAATAACTATAAAATAACTAAAGAGGTTCATTTATTCATTGAACAAATATCTACAGAGAACCTATTATGTCCAATCAGCATGCCAGGGGCTAAAGATACTAATAGAGCAAAAGACAGTGTGGCCCTTGCCCAATAGTACTAACAATGTATCACAGTAGAAAACTAGATAGAAGGAGAAAAACGTCATTAAGAGAATTGCTGCTCATTTCATTTTCATCCCCTATTCGTTAACACTCTTGTCCTGAAAGTCCTCATCACCTCTAAGGTTAAATAACTATCTGTCAATGTAATGTCTATGTAAGTTTGGGAGAAAAGAGGAATGATCCTTATTACTCCCCAAACTATGTAATTTTTAAGAAATTTGAAGAGTAGCTGCCATATACGTTTAAGACTGTAGCATAATTTTACTCTATTTAGCAGGCACAGAATTTAATTTCTATTTACATAGTGAATTTAATTTCTATTTACATAGTGAAAAACAAAAGTTCAAACTTGAGCTTTCACATACCTTGAGGGGGTCTTATTCCACCTGCAACAGGAAACATGAAGCTGAAACAGAATAAAATACATCATAATCTTCATATGTACAAAGATTTCAAATAAAACATGTCATTTTTTCCATGGATGAGAGAATCATAGATAGAGCCTGGAACTGGTTCTGGAGTACAATACTAAGTTGCTCAACATCAATACAAAAAGAACATCCACAGGATACACAACCATTGGCATGGAAGTATGGAGGGAAATTTTCTTTTTTTTGAGACAGAGCCTCAAGCTGTCCCCCTGGGTAGAGTGCTGTGGCATCAAAGCTCACAGCAACCTCCAATTCCTGGGCTCAAGCGAGTCTCCTGCCTCTGCCTCCCAAGTAGCTGGGACCACAGGCGCCTGCCACAACGCCCAGCTATTTTTTGTTTGCAGCCATCATTGTTGTTTGGCGGCCCGGGCTAGATTCGAACCCCGCCACCTTAGGTGTATGTGGCTGGCACCTTAGCCACTTGAGCCACAGGCGCCGAGCTGGGAAATTTTCTTAAATGGAAGATAGAAGACCCTGAGACTAGGCTCGGTGCCCATAGCTCAGTGGTTAGGGTGCCAGCCACATACACCAGAGCAGGAGGGTTCAAACCTGATCCAGGCCAGCTAAACAACAATGACAAATGCAACAACACCACCACAAAAATAGCTGGGCGTTGTGGCGGGCGCCTGTAGTCCCATCTACTTGGGAGCTAAGACAAGAGAATTGCTTAAGCCCAAGAGTTAGAGGTTGCTGTGAGCTGTTATGCCACAGCATTCTACCGAGGGCAACATAGTAAAACTATCTCAAAAAAAGAAAGAATAAAAGACCCTGAAACCAGTCCTGATTTTGTTACTATGTGACCTCCTTGGATTCCAACTTCCCCATCCATAAAATGAGAGGGTTAGATTAGATTCAGTTCAGTGAACATTTATTCAATGTCTAGTATAAAAAGGGTTGAAATAGCTCACGATGTTTAAGTCACAGATGTAGGAAAATAGCTATCAGAGGATAAAACTACATTAACTGCTATAAAAGGGCATCAAATTATAACAGATACGATTTATTTTATTTTATTTTTGAGACAGTTTTTTTTTTTTTTTTTTGAGATCGAGCCTCAAGCTGTCCCCCTGGGTAGAGCGCTGTGGCATCACAGCTCACAGCAACCTCCAACTCCTGGGTTCAAGCGAGTTTCCTTCCTCTGCCTCCCAAGTAGCTGGGACCACAGGCGCCTGCCATAATACCCGGCTATTTTTCTGGTTGCAGCTATCATTGTTGTTTGGCGGGCCCAGGATGGATTTGAACCCGCCACCTTAGGTGTATGTGGCTGGCGCCTTAGCTGCTTGAGCCACAGGCGCTGAGCCTTTGAGCTGAATCTTAAAGGAAGATAGAAAGCATACTACATAGTTAGAGCAAGAGCTCTGAGGCCAGAGATGCAGGGACACTCAGAGGAATCAATGAAGGTGAAGGATCACCCCAGTTGTTCACAGTGATTGTGGGGGAGGAAAGAGGGAATGAAGAGGAGACAGGGATATTTTCCTTCTAGCTTTATATGTATTTGTCAATTTTTTTTAACCATAAAGAAGTATTATTTCCATAATCAAAAAAATAGGTAGAAGTTGGTAAATAAAAAAAGGAAGGGAGAGTGTTCAGCAGATGAGCTTGCCCTGCTCACACTGGCTCCTGAGGGTTTCTAATCCTAGGGAAGACAATCAGGGCTGCCCAGTGCTTATGGTTTTTCTTCAGGGCACCACAACCCCAGAATATTTTGGAGGCTCCCAGCAGCAATGACTCCCATGAAGGCTGCTGTGAGGATTAAATGAAATAATGTAGTAAAGGCACTAGGAAAGTGGCTGGCTGGTAGTTAAGCCCTCACTACCAGCAGCTTTCAGTTATTGTTTTATTGGGATCCTGCAGCTCAGTCCTGCAGAGGACCCCTCTACTTCCAGATTCCTCTCACAGGCACAGATTTTAAGCATTCAGGGCACATATATAAATGCTTAGTTTCACGTCAGGGCTATAACTACACTGAATCACCAACAAAACCGCTTCATGAAAATCTTAGCAACAGACGACAAGGGTCATAACTAAAGCAGTAGAGATGGAAAAGCAGAAGTGAATGAAAAACAGGTAAGAAAAGCACTCAACAGGACATGGCAACTGCAGGGTGGGAAAGAGTAGGGAAAAAGCAGAGCGAGCTAAAGGTGACGCTGAGACACCGAGTCTGAGCAATGGCAAGGATGGTGACGCTGTTCACTGAAGTCAGGAACCCAATGAGTAGGACTGTGTTCATGAGAAGCAATCTAGCAGGCAATCAGAAAAGTAACTCAAGCTCAGGACAAAAAGCTGGGTAAATCTAGCTAGGTTCTTTTTAAATTAAGGTGAAAAAAATTCAGCTGTGTTTATAGATGAACTAGTGCCAGCCACATACACCCAGGCTGGTGGGTTCAAACCTGGCCCCGGCCAGCTAAACGACGACAACTGCAACAACAACAAAAATATATAGCTGGGCATTGTGGCAGGCGCCTGTAGTGCCAGCTACTTGGGAGGCTGAGGCAAGAGGACCACTTAAGCCCAAGAGTTAGAGGTTGCTATGAGCTGTGACACCACAGCACTCTCCCAAGGGTGACATAGTGAGACTGTCTCAAAAAAAAAAAAAAAAAAGAAAAAAAAGAAATAGCCAAGGGATTGTATGTCTAGTAAGAAGACCACTAAGGTCAACCTTGGATAGTTCTCACAGTGAAAATCAGTAGGGATGGTCACTGAGAACCAAGGGAGCTGCTTATCACTCAGTTGTAACTGTGGAAGCACCAAATTAAAGCTGATCAGAAGGAAGATTCAGAAATAAATAATTTCATTGCTCTTGCAAAATGATTTCAAAAATCATTGCTTTTGAAAATGGTGATCTTTGAGTGAGCAATTTTAACAGAGGAAGAGACCTACAGAGAGAAAGAAAGATTCAGGAGACAAAAAGATACTCAGTGATTGATAAAAGCAGGGTTTGTGAGGAAATGAGATTAATAGCAAGGTAGCAAAAGATATCTGCTTTGAAAATGAAGTGGGACTTCCTTCTCTGAGACTAGAAAGAAAAAGGGACAAATCAACAGAGAAAACTTAGTGGGGAAAGGTTCTTAGTGGGGAAAGGAGTCAGTGATCCAAAGGCAAAGTTTCTAAGAGGAATTGTATGCCAAATTTATGTGTTCTTACTTTTGAAGAGAACATTGGACCCCTCTTAGGGGGTCTGAAGACCTTCCAGCCATGGAAATAAAGGAAAATCTTGAGTCCCTTCAGGGAAAGTTCTGGGGCACCTGGCTGGTCTTGAAAAGTGAATGGATGGCTCGGCACCTGGGGCTCAAGCAGCTAGGGTGCCAGCCACATACACCGGAGCTGGTGGGTTCGAATCCAGCCCAGGCCCTCCAAACAACAATGGCAACTACAACCCCAAAATAGCTGGACGTTGTGGTGGGCGCCTGTAGTTTCAGCTACTTGGGGGGCTGAGGCAAGAGAATCACTTAAGCCCAAGAGTTTGAGGTTGCTATGAGCTGTAATGCCACGGCACTCTACTGAGGGCAACATACTGAGACTGTCTCAGGAAAAAAAAAAAGGGAATATTCAGAGCATCAGAAAGTATAATAACTGCAAAGGAGTCAAGAGTCTCAAGCCATCACCCTGGGTAGAGTGACATGGTGTCACAGGTCACAGCAACCTCCAACTCTTAGGCATAAGGAACTCTCTTGCCTCAGCCTCCCAAATAGTTGGAACTACATGTGCCTGCCACAACGCCCGGCTATTTTTTTTTTTTTTTGGTTGTAGTTAGCATCATTGTTGTTTGGCGGGCCCAAGCTGGATTCCAACCTGCCAGCTCAAGTTATGTGGCTGGCACCCTAGCCACTTGAGCTATAGGCGCAGAGCGGGGAATCGTATTTCAACATGGGATTTGGAGGGGCCAAATGTCCAAACCATATCAGATGGTTTCATAATTTGTGTTCTTAAGTTGTTTCTCAGATGGAAAATGCAAAATGGATCTGAGGAAATGAACTCTGATGGCCTAACAAGCTATTCTTTTTTCTAAATCCCTCCCTGAAGGACCTGGGAATAGTCATGCTCATCCTGATATTCCCTTCTGCAAATCGAAGAATCCCTGAGACTACCTATGATTTGGAGGCCCCCCACTTGAGGATATCCTGCTTTGGGGGCCAGGCCAATGTTTAACCTCCATGTACTGATTTACAATTTTGCCTGCCTGAAATGTACCCCTGTCTTTAAAAATCCTGGCTTGTAAGCCATTGAGGAATATGGCTTTTAAGCATTAGCTGCTATTCTCTTTCCATGGCATCATGCAATTAAAATTAAAATGCCTGTTTCTCCTGCTGCAAAAGTACACTTCAGTGCCTGGCTCTGCTGCACCACGTGAGCAGTTTGGCTCAATAACTTATTTTTCTTTTCTTTCTGTGTGTGTGTGGGGGGGGGTACTAAATTTCTTTATTTGAAGGAATGGTACAAATGAAAGAACTTAAGTGGATGTTTTGGTACAACTTATAGGAAAGGTAAAGGAAACCCCAACACGCATGCACTGCCTTGGTGACCACGGAAGTCACCTGTGACTAAGGGGAAGTTAGCCTAAGGCTTAGCTTTCATTATCACTGTCTCCCAGGGTACGCTTGTCATAGAGATACTCTGCCATGCCAGCCTTAGGGACTCTCATCTTGGACAGGTTGGTCACCCAGTTCTTTGATGGATTTCATCTGCTCATTCAGGTAATGTGTCTCCATGAAGTCACACAAGCAAGGGTCATTTTTGTCAGCGGCCAGTTTGTGCAGTTCCAGTAGTGACTGATTCACACTTTTTCCCAAGAGTGTCCCACACTCCATAGCATTCAGCCCACTCTCCTAGTCATCACAGTCTGGTTTCTTGATATCCCGAAGGAAGATTCCACCACCTTATTGATTCTGCAGCTTCTTCAGTTTCTCAGCATGTTCCCTCTCCTCGTGCGATTGGCAAAGAAAGTATTTGGCAAAATTCTTCAAAGCTACATCATTGTGGTCAAAGTAGTAAGACATGGACAGGTAGAGGTAGGAGGCGTAGAACTGCAGGTCTGGTGGTTGATGGCGACCTCTGAGTCCTGCTGGTAGTTCTGGCACACCTGCCAAGGGGACACAGTCATCATGGAGGCGGCTGAAGAGCAGTGTCATGGGCCTTGGGGTGGTTGGAGGGCGCAGTGAGGAGGTGTAGGAGGGCTGGTTGTGAGCAGATGGCCAGGGTGGGGGATGAGTGCCAGGTTCCATCCCAGCACTGTTGAAGCAGGAATCAGCGGCAACTCTGAGTGAAGAATGTCTCCAGTAATGTATTTTTCCCTTACACAACCCTGTCCCCCAGAAAAATGCTGACAACCCAACTTTAGAGTCTAGTTCTAAAATGTTTTAATTTTTAAAGAATTTTGTAAGGTGGTTTACAGAGTTCTAGTTGAACATCTATTTCATGGCATTTACAGTCTTGTAGAAGTTCTGGATCACAGGCAAATTCTGCTGCTGACAAGCAAGTTTGCACTCAGAGGCCCCAAGGGTGAAAAGCTTTTCTGAACTGTGCAGAAGACGTAGTAGCTAAGTTAACGTGCTAACTGCACAAAAGGTTTAAGTTACAAGTTGAAATTTGGTAGTAGCAGGCATACCTTGGAGATACTGGGAGTTTGGTTCCCGATCACCACAATGAAGTGAATATTGCAATAAAATGAGTCACACAAAAGTACAGGTGTGTCTAAAAGTTATGTTTTAGTCCTGGTGTGTCTAAAAGTTATGTTTGTAGGCTCGGCGCCTATAGCTCAACCGGCTAAGGC